ACAAAGGCTACCATCAGTAACACTATGCCACCAGGGACTCAGATCCTGCAGGGCCAGACGTGTCCCCCTACAGACCTCTCATCTTCAGTGGGCGAACTTGAAGAATTGGTGGCTGACTAAAGACTTTTCCCCCCATTGTAGCTAACCTAATATRAAGAGCTAATATTCACAAAATCTTTGTAGCAAAATTCTTTCCTCTGCTCCCAAACAGAGGCAGATTGTTAACGTTAGTGATGATAAAAGTTTAAAGTTGTCCCATCGTCTCTGAAAGTGAAGCTCTGCAGAATTTACAAGTTTCTGTATACTTTATCCTGGTTGTTGTTGTTTTACAATGATATTTATGAATAATGTAGACAATTTTTTACTTAAAATTTTGAAGACATCCTTTACCGCTCCCAGAGAACCACGGCTCACTTACATGGAGTGAAGACAGTGGGGATGGGTGACAGCCAGTAACAAAAATACATACAGTAAATTGCAATAAGTCAGGTTTGGATTTAAATCGGTAGCTACATTTTAAATCCAGTGAAAGCAAGAATGTTAACTAATAAATTGGACGATAATCTGGCTGTTTAGTGATTTTTCCACAGTTGTGGTCTTGACTGGTCTTGGAATAAAATTCTGAGTCCTCAATGTCCGAGACCGAGACAAGACCAAKACCATCAAAAAGTGGTCTTGAGACCGGTCTTAAGACCAAGACCGTTTTCAAGTACTACAACACTACTCTGATACACCTTCACTTCATCTGAGCATCACATGCAAGGAATAATCTGGATTACACATTGCCTAGTCAAAGAAAAAACTGTCACTAAAAAAAAGGTCACACCCCACCTTTAGTTTAAATTACAGCACACATTCACTGTGGCATTGCTTCGATAAGCATCTGCAACATCACCAGATTTATTTCCATCTAATGTTGAATTAATTTTTCACTAAGATCTTACATTGATGAAGGTAGAGTCTGACCGCTGCACAAAGCCTTTTCTGCACATCCCAAAGATTCTCAGTGGACTCTGTGGAGCCATGTGTGAAAATGATGTCTCATGCTCCCTGAACCACTCTTTCAAAATGAGCCCCATGAATCCTGGCATTGCCATCTTGGAATATAGCCATAACCCTAACCCATCAGGAAAGAAACAATCCATTGATGAAATAACCTGCTCATTCAGTATATTCAGGTCAGCTGACCTCATTCTTTGAGCTGAACCTGGACTGGACCACCTGCAGCAGCCCCACATCATAGACCTGCCTCCACAGACTGGTACAGTAGACACTATGATGGGTTCATCACTTCACCTGCCTCTCTTCTTACCCCGATGCACCCATCTCTCTGGAACAGGATCACTCTGACTCATTAGACCACATAACCTTCTTCCATTGCTCTACAGTCCAATCTTTATGCTCCCTAGCAAATGGAAGCTTTTTTTTCCAGTTAGCCAATGATTTGACCCTTCTCAATCACAAATGACATTAGATAGGTTTCATTTTTTACCATGGCAAAGCAGTAAACTTACAAAGACCTCCATAAAACTCCACTGGAAATGAACTTTTAACAGTTCAGACTTGTAGCTGGTAGCTGAGMGCTAACTCAAGTCATTATGAATGCTGCCTACAACTTAAAGCTAACTGCTAATGCTAACTTATCAACAAGGCTCTCATTCAACCATTACAAGCCATAAGAAGCTGTATCTTAGTGAATTAAAGCTCACACATGACATTAGAGAGGTTTCATTAAATAAAACAGCCAGTTTGAGACATAATGACCTAAGAATCTGTACACTAGTAGCTAAAGGTCACCTCTATCACAAATAGTAGCCAAAATCAAAAAACCATGATGGCCACCATGGCTAATTTCAAATTACTCCAATTCAGCAAATTTTCAATATATAGAGCTAATAATTGATACACAAGTAGCTGAAAGTGACCTCTACCAAAAACAGTAGCCGAAATAAAAATCCAAGATGGATAAATTTTTTCCACGACCTCTGGATGTATCTTTTGACATGGTTGTTTAAAAAATGAGAAGCATCTTATTGCACCAGTTGGGGTTAAATAACTTGTTGCCAGCTGAAAGATAATGACCCACACAGTAATTAACCAATAGGAGGCTCGTACCTATGCAGGGGTCACCTCGAGTGAAGAAACAAGATTTTCTGCCTCTAAACAGGCCTTGGACAGGCCTGACAAGARGACAGGAACTCTGTTACAAACTGAACTMTATTTAGGCCAGGACAGGTCATTCTAACCRTGGAAGAGAACCACTCAGTTCTCTTAATCAGATAATGGACAGAACAATATCTTCTGTTCGTGATTCATTTGTCATTTGACTAAGAATGTTTACGCATTTGTTAAATCATGATAATGACTGTCACAGGAAAAGTGGAACGACTTCTTATCGTGCCTTAAAGATTTATAATGGTATAAAATAGTCACAGAGAATCTGATTACAATGTTTTCATTGTGTTTTCATGTAAATCATTGTTTTTATTTTACTGTGAACATAGTAATTTAATTGTGGATTTTTCTTGAGAAAATCTTTCACTTATCTGGACTAAAATAATGGTTCATAGCTGATTTAAAAGAGAAATGTTATAGTTAATCATCAAAAATGTTTTGCAGTGATTTCTCTTAGAATCTATCAGAAGGAAGCTAAAGACTTTATCATGATATTGTTGAACAACCACAGAATTTAACCTTGACTGGAGCCTGCCTGTCAAGTCTGTATCTTTCTTCTCTGACTCATGTCTAAGCCTGAGGGCGGAACCAAAGTTTGTCCGTTCTTATTACTAACCCGGACGGCTTTGACGACACTCTGACTTCCTAACTCAAACAACGAAAAAGGCTGTGATTCTCTCCGGAGAAGTCTCAGCCCTGGGGCTGTAAGATCTAATCCCAAGAGCCAATTAGGGTGGATGTTACAGCCAGGGACCCAACAAGCCTGTCGGTGTTCCAACCCGAGGCTTCAAGCCTCCAAGTGTGTTTTGTACCTCCCGATGGGGAGATGTTTTTAATTTGAAGGAGAAACCGGATATGGCTTGAATTTTTCTGGCTTGAACTGAAGCAGACACAAAGTTACCTGAAAATAACACCTGTTCRCCAATGACCGGTAAGCGAGCCGACAACAGTTCACTGACTGATCGGAGGCGAGCCAGTTTTTCTACTTTGAGGGTGCCTTAAGAAGTCATCATCAGGTAAAAGCTGATGTGTTTGGAGTGACATGTATTGTGGGCCTGAGTCGAGAAAAGACGTGCAGTTCCRGTTGACTCATACTTTGGTAAAAGTAAAGTAGTAGAAACACTAACATTACTTTCCTCCTCTTTCTTATTTCTTTGATTTGCCAAAACTTAAGCTATGCCAGTAAAATTATTTGGTTGTTTAACATCAGAACTAATGTTTTAMTGTCTTATTATTAGTAATCTGAGTTGATGTGAATTGAAATTCAGACGCAAGTTTTTATCCCATTAATTCTGACGCTTGTGTAGGAAACTAAATACCCACAATCAAGTTGTAACGTGTGATTTGTTTAATTTGTGTAAATAAATGATTGCATAGTCGTTAGTAACAAATTGAAATCGTCTGAGCGTTCCACTTATTAAGTCATTTTTCACTTCGCACAGTCAAGATATTAACAAATAGTGAGAAATACCTTGGTAAGAATTTTCCTCATAACCTTGAGAATGAGAGATATGGGAAAAGCTTATTAAATCCTAAGCTCACTTCCTACACCTATTTGCTGAGTTAAATCCAGGTGGTAASTGTTTTTTAACCAGGCTGTGTATCTTACTATGAGCCTTATTGTTACCAGCTGCTTGTGTACGAGAGGCTGCTGGTGCAGGTCTGTAACAGCAGCTGCTCTCTGCACTCTTACAAGCTGCGTTTCCATTGACCATGAAAATGCGCAAATTAGAATTTCGAAAATAAATTTGCTCAATGGAAACACGTCAATTTTGAAAAAAAAATTACGTTTTTTCGACAAAATGTTTTTGAGCTAGGATGAGGTGGTATTTCGGCCGTATCGAAATTGGCGTTTTTCGCAAAACTGCAATGGAAACACTTTTTTCGCATCATGGGAGTCACGTGATCAACAACCGGCTGTTTCTACTGGTGAAAAAGACGATGATAAAGACGATAACAGGAAGTAGAAGTAGTAGTAACATCACAGAAGTAGTAAAATAAAGTAGTAAACTCACCGACTACATTTTCCCAAAAACACAGCATACGTAGCCGCTCCCAATTTAGGGACTTGTCTCTGGAAAGCCTCGATAAAAGACGCTGACGTCTCCTCTGATGATGAGCGCTAGTGTCGTGGTAGCAACATGCTATGTGTTTACATCCATCGCCGCCATGTTTGTAATGACTTATTGCGAGAACAAACGTATTCACGCGTGACTTTAATAGCATGTCTTAATGGAAACACCGCAGTTGTGAAACTGTTTTTTCGACATTAACAGAATATCGACAAAGTTTTGCGCACATTTGCAGTGGAAACGCAGCTGCAGTTAGCAATGATGCTAACACCTCAGACTGTTTAACTCATCCTCAGGCTCTGTAGTTTAATGATGTCTTCACATGGTGGGCTCTGAAGGGGAGGAAGAACTGGTTTCAGACATAAGACTCAGAACCTGCAGCAGACTACCATGAACAGAATCTGAACATTGATTCAGTTTGTCCCAGCAGAGCTGCAGTAACTTCCTGCTGATGAACCATGGTTTTCTCCACAGAACCCTAAATGCTGTCTGTCTGTCAGTAAAAAACACGACTGTCTTCATGAACAACACTGGATCAAGCCCAGAGCAGGACCTGGTCTTTGTCAGCCAGAGATCCAGCTGCTGGCTCCCTGATCGGATCTTCCACATGAACTCTGATCAGAACCCTCTCTCAGAAAAACTACATTTTCGCACCTTCCATGTTATTGAGGAGCTGTGAAGAACACTTCCCCCTATGAGGRCCACCGGACTCATGAGTCCAGAACCAACCCCAGCTTGTTCCACAGTTCTTACCTGCTTGACCCGTAGCGATGCTGACGGCGGCGAACAGTCTCTGTGTGCGACTCAGGTCTGACACTCCGTTAACAGCCTCTACCTCAAACGTGTAGTTAGCGTGAGCCAGAAGGTCCACGATGTTCACATACGTGTCCACCAGGCCCGCCTGGGCCGGAGAAAAGCCCACAGTGGGCCCACACGGAACACACTCCTCTGGCTCCCAGCTGCAGCGTCTACATCCAACCCTGTAGGTGACGTCGTTACGACCCCCTGTGTCGGCCGGAGGGCTCCACTCCAGGTTCACCGTGGTCTGGTTGGTGTTGTATACCAGGTTCTGTGGTGCTGACGGCGGTCCTGCCAGAGGAGACCAGAATTAGAAAAGAGGAAAACAATAATAGTGATAGCCAAGTAGACTAGACCAGGGGTTCTGAACCTTTTTGACCTCAGGGCCCAAATTATTGATCATAAAGTGGCACGAGGCCCAGACAGACATTACCAATGTATGGATCAAAATGATAATTATTCTAAAGCTTGGTTTAACTTTTATTGTATCTACATTATAACTAAATTAAAAACACTTAGTTTAAAAGTAAAACTCCTGTCAAATTATCACAAGACATGAT